AAATGGAATTGATAGAAACTGCAAAACACAGCTTTTACAGCATACCTCTAACACCAGCGCTCCACAAAAGCAACAATAAGTGGAGAGTATAAGTGGGCGTACATGGAGTCCACCAGATGTGACAGCCCAGTCTAACCTATCAGATTTTTTTTGAAGCGATAGGCACATCATGGAGCCACATCCTCAAATTGTGGAGCGTCCTTTGTCTCTTCTGGCATTTAAAAATGGCTCTAACATGTCCAGTCCACATGCGAAAGGCTACGTGCCCTAGAAAGCCAGGGATGACACACCCATCAATGGGTCCACAGGCACTGGGCTTCTAACGATCCAGCTATTGTCTGTTTGAGTCCTAGATCATTTTCTAGTACCTGCATTAGAATAGAATATATATATCCGACATATTGTCACTGACTGTACCGATGATATACTATTACTGAATAAAAATATTTAATGGTAAACAACAATAAGTATGTAAATGATTTACATGGGGATTTAGTACGCAAAATGCCCACAAGACTCTTGTGGGCGTGCAGGGGGCGCATGGTGTTCAGGGTGTGCAGGACTCCTAGGTCGTGCAAGAGGCTGTCGTGGGGGGTTGGAGGAGGCATAACGTTGTGCTCATATGCAGACTCAGTGTCGTCAGACTCATCTGCAGACTACCCCCTCTGGGCTATCGAGTCGTCATAATAACATACTGGAACGGGGAATCTCGAACTGCCAGCAGGGGCAGCGTCACCAGTCTGTATCATGCGAGCCTCATGGATCCTCTCGTCCATCTCCCGATGAACGGAATAATCTACAAACCGAATTCTCGTGTGTCGGGGTCCAGAAACATAATACTCAACGGTCTCTTCTTCTTCCGTGGCAAGTCGCTTCACGTACACGAAGAGTCTAAATCAATAATTTAATTTAAACAATTAATTAGTAAACACGATTTTTAAATTCATATTTTTTAAACTTTTATTAATAAAATTTACACAAAATGATTATATATATAATATATTATTTATAAGTAACATTTATTAATAACTATTAAACTACAATTTATCAAAATTAACTATTTTTAAATTTAACAATTTTTAAATTTAATATATATATAGATATTTTTTTAGTTTGCAATTATTTAATTTATTATAAAAATATATTTTTTCAAACTTCATATATATTATCTATTTTTTGTAATTAATTATAAAAATATACTTTTTTTTAATTTTTTTTCATAAATTGTATATTTTATAAATATATATATATATATATTATATATTTATAATTTATTATTTATTTTCCAATTATATATATATTTATTATATACTTTTTTATATTTATTGTATAATGAATTAAATATTTAAAAAAAAAAATTGTGTCCGGCCCGCAGAGTGTCTGTCTGGCAGAGCCGGACACCGATAGTGGCGTTCGGCCAAAGATGGCGACCGGGAAGGGGGTCGTCCGGCCGTTCTTTGCGAACGACCCCGGGCTTAACCGAACCTAAATACCCGTCGCGCCCAAGTCCCGTCGCCTTCCCCAGCAGGACGGTACCTTATGCGTCCGGCAGCAACGGCCGGACACTGACATAGTTTTAAAAAAAAATCATAAAAAAGTTTTAAAAAACCTTGCCGACAATCGATCCCTTGCCGAGGCCCCTGCGTTGTCGTGGCATTTTTTCGGAATTTTTGGCGTTGAAACGAGCAAGAAACGAAAGTGAGAGGTTGAGAGAGAGAGTGAGAGAGAGGCTCTGAAATGAGTAAAGGGTAAAATGGTAATTGAGAGCGGTACGTAGTAATAAAAAGACGGTAAATAGCAACACCAAAATGAAATTGGTGTTAGGTATTGTACACCAAACAATAATAGAGGGTGGTAGTTGCGTAAATTATATTACTAGAAAGGGTATAACAGTCTCAAAAATCAAATGTTAGAGATATATAGGTAAATATATACACAAATTTTACTGTATGGATTTTTAGGGCGTGATTGTATATCAATTGTACAGTAAATATCTCACTAAAAATTCAATTTTAAGTCAATTGCACTATCTTCAATATTATCAATATAATTAAATAATATCAACAATTATTATTACACATCTCATAAACTTTAATTCACTATTCATCAACTCACATAATTTAACTAACTATCACTTCAAATTATTTTCTCCTACTTTTATATCAAATCAACTTTAATTATTTTAATTTAAATATTATTTTAATATATCCACTAACAATTAATCATAATACTTTTTTCAAACTTAACTATAGTTAAAAAAATATTATTAATAATAATAATTTTTTACTAGTTGAATTCATATTCAATCACCCCCTTAGAATCATGACCCTCTCTGCACGATTGAGCCCGACCAAATCGCGGGCTGGAAGAAATCGGTCGGGTCGTAATCCAAGAAAACAAACACATGATAAATGCCAGATAAGTGCTGCAATCTTATCTAATCTACCTTAACAAATGTGGCCTAGTTAAATAACTTTCATACCATAATAAAAATAATAACAATAAAA